GGGGGGGGTCAATTTTGCCCTCCAGGGGACATTTGGCAGTATCTGGAGACATTTTTGGTTGTTACAACTGGGGGGAGTGCTACTGGCACTTGTGGGTAGAGGCCAGGGATATTACTAAAAATCCTACAATGCAAAAAACAACTCCCACAACAAAAAATTATCCAGTTCAAGATGTCAACAATGCAAAAGTTGAGAAACTCTATTCCAACATAGCATCTAATATTCGTATACTGCTGTATGGTTTACAAATGACTTCTATGCATTTACTAATTTGAGCCTCATAACTATATATGGGGCAAGTACAATTATTCCAAATGTACAGAAAGGAAAACAAGGCCAAAAACAAAAACTGAGTTACCTAAAGGCACATGGCTAGTAAGTGGGAAAGGGGAGATTTCTGTATATTCTCAAAATCACCAGGAGAGTATAATACAATCAAGCTTCTCTCAAGTTATCTGCCTTGGCAATTAACAAAAATTCCAAGTCAGTGCAAGATCAGCACTCAGTGACATATGCTGAATTGCAATTGCTGCTTCAGATAGGTGGTCAGACACTTCATCACCAAAAGCACTTAAGTTTACCTACTGGTAGGCCCGGCAGGTACAACAGCATGATTGCCCTCACGCGAGAGTCAAGGACTTCCTCTTTCTTTACTTGCTACTGCCCCACTTAGGAACGATTACCCAATTTTGAAGAGCAACTTCCCAAAGAAGATGTTGAATCACTTATTGGTTCATTTGTTCATGCATTCATTCAACAAATATGCACTGCACACCTACTATGCGCTAGGCATATGTTAAGCAAAAGGATATAGTGGGAGCCAAGCAAGCACAGTCCCTACTCCCATGGAATTTACAGTCTGGTGGGAAAAACAGGTATCAAGAACTAATAATATCTGCAAGTGTGTTCCAGAAAGGGAGGTAAAGGGTGCCTACTGCAGACTATCGGCATCAACATAAAAGCGTCTGAAATTCCTTACTGACAGAACAAGGCCTGCTGTGTACCTTCGAGATAAACCCAGCCTCTAATTCCAAGTTCTGTTAGTGAGGCTCAGATCCTTGCTAACTGACTGTCTGACAGAACCCTGACTGACCTCATAACTGCAACCTCATGTTATGTGACTTTAAAGGCCCACTAACTCCAGCCTGGGTGAGTGGACTTTCTGACCAGCCTCACAGAGAAAGCACCATACGAGGGCAGCTTGCTGTTTGCATCTGAGGCTTCTGACCTAAGAAAATACCCATTGCTTTCTCTGCCCTACTTTTGGCCAAGGAGGCAGAGCCAAATAAGGCCAGCCACAGTTTTCAACCACTCAAAATAAAGTGAACTATTTTAGGTCTAAAGAAAAAAAGGACCATGAATACAGCCTAGCTTCCTTCACTGGGACCACCTACCTAACCCCAAGCTATGTGGCATTCTATAATGGCTCCTAAAACAAAATGCAAAGCTATAGGTCAAAATCAAACAGAAAGTTTTTCCAATGAAGGAAACAGGAAAAACACATTAAAGGTATTTTCAAAACTACAACCTTATATACAGCTATGACATTCACATTCTTGATAGCATATATCCTGAGCTAAGGATCCTGCTGGAAGCATAATGAGAAAGGGCTTTTTATAGCACTGCCATCTTCAATCAGGCATTCACAGTGGGATTTGGACCATAAATATGTTTTATATGTGTGACTAAAGTATATTGCTTCTAATACTGCAAGACTATCTGCCACCAGCAGCATGTGTCATCAACATAAGGTGCCACCATCTGCTTCAAAGGGAACCATATAAATCAGTGCAGATGTTTACACAATGGGAGATGCCAAGGTAAACCTACAGAGGACAGATACGGAAGCAGATACATCCACCCAGACAACTTCACACAGCAGGAAGTGAGCAGCTTTCAGAGAAAGGATGTCTGCAACTGGGACCGAGAGAACTTTTCCATCCAACAGTCCTGGAGGTTCCATTTTTTATTAATGGAATCTGAAAATGAACTATGAAGCCATGCAAAGAGAAACAACAAAAGGGAAACAAAATTAAACCACATTTCCTCTGAATTTCTGACAATTTTTTTCCGATAGCTTATTTGCAAAACTCTTACATAAAAGAATAAAAAGCCTTACGTGATGGAACAAATGTCAGGTAGGGTGAAGCTCATCTTCTGTTCTAAGGTGAGAAGACCGAGGGAGTGCCTGGACTTGGAGTGAAAGGGTTCCAGAACTGCTGACCACAGAGGACAGAAGAAATGTTTTTTGTGTGCACACTTACTGATTCCGTGCGACTGCTGCTGGGAGGTCGGTATGTCCAATCTACGGTGAGTTTGTCAGTGACAGATGAAGTCGACTTGAAAATGCATTTCAACTTGATCTTCTCGCCAACATAACCCCGGACGTGAGCGTCCACTTTAATCTCCAAGGGAAGGACAATGTGGACGCCTAAGCAAAGCAAGCCCAACATTTAAAAGGTTTTCATTTGGGTGCAATATACAGTTGACTGAGCAATATAAAGATGGTACTTATAGTCTTTAGGACTCTCATAAAAACCACAGCAATAAATATCTTCTCATGCACGCCCAAGAGGGACAAGGAGTGGATGTCTGCATTAATCAAGGATAGTATTTCTGTCACTTTACGATATTAAATCATAGGATGAATGCTTGGGTAAAAATTTAAAAGCTGGTTGCACCAGCATTTTTCCAAATACAGACTTGTGGTTAAATTAGGCACATACAAGTGGGTCAGCCCACAGCAGGCTAAAGGACACCAACCACCCACTCCCCCCCCCACACACACACACTCCAGGAATATGCCAGCTGTTGTGGTCTAAGGGACTTACCCCAGTACAGCATGCTTGCAACCTGAAGCTACCACTGCCTCAGCCACCAGCAGAATGAGAAGAGAAAATAGAACATTTTTTTCAAAGAATTTTATAAAACTGCCCAAAGGTTCTATCTAGTTTTGTTTTGGTTTTTTCTGTCTTAAAGCTTGTTAATGAATCACACACCCATTAAAAGTAAATCAGGGGCCTGGATNCTCATCTTCTGTTCTAAGGTGAGAAGACCGAGGGAGTGCCTGGACTTGGAGTGAAAGGGTTCCAGAACTGCTGACCACAGAGGACAGAAGAAATGTTTTTTGTGTGCACACTTACTGATTCCGTGCGACTGCTGCTGGGAGGTCGGTATGTCCAATCTACGGTGAGTTTGTCAGTGACAGATGAAGTCGACTTGAAAATGCATTTCAACTTGATCTTCTCGCCAACATAACCCCGGACGTGAGCGTCCACTTTAATCTCCAAGGGAAGGACAATGTGGACGCCTAAGCAAAGCAAGCCCAACATTTAAAAGGTTTTCATTTGGGTGCAATATACAGTTGACTGAGCAATATAAAGATGGTACTTATAGTCTTTAGGACTCTCATAAAAACCACAGCAATAAATATCTTCTCATGCACGCCCAAGAGGGACAAGGAGTGGATGTCTGCATTAATCAAGGATAGTATTTCTGTCACTTTACGATATTAAATCATAGGATGAATGCTTGGGTAAAAATTTAAAAGCTGGTTGCACCAGCATTTTTCCAAATACAGACTTGTGGTTAAATTAGGCACATACAAGTGGGTCAGCCCACAGCAGGCTAAAGGACACCAACCACCCACTCCCCCCCCCACACACACACACTCCAGGAATATGCCAGCTGTTGTGGTCTAAGGGACTTACCCCAGTACAGCATGCTTGCAACCTGAAGCTACCACTGCCTCAGCCACCAGCAGAATGAGAAGAGAAAATAGAACATTTTTTTCAAAGAATTTTATAAAACTGCCCAAAGGTTCTATCTAGTTTTGTTTTGGTTTTTTCTGTCTTAAAGCTTGTTAATGAATCACACACCCATTAAAAGTAAATCAGGGGCCTGGATGGGTGTGGCTCAGCAGTTGAGAGTCGACCTAGGATCCAGGCGATCGGGGTTCGATTCCTGGTCAGGGCACATGCCCAGGTTGTGGGCTTGATCCCCAGTGGAGGGCGTGCAGGAGGCAGCCGATCAGTGACTCTCTCATCATTGATGTTTCTATCTCTCTCTGCCTCTCCTTTCCTCTCTCTGAAATCAATAAAGATATATTTTTAAAAAAAAAAAAGTAAATTGGGGGAGGAAAACAGAACAATGTGATGCACTCTAAAATGTAAAAATAAGATACCATTTTTTAATTCTCTAGAGATCTACTCTTTCCAAAACCACCTCATATATCCAACTTGAAAGCCCACCTCCCCAAAAGAGCTGGCACTTTCTTCTGCCTAATCCCCTCTGCTTTAGGGGACAGTGAGTAGAACTTTATCTCCCACAAGGGAGCCATTTTTTAGGAGGTGAGCCCCCAGCACTGTTCCCCTGGCTCCTTCTCTGGGCACTAGGCCAGGACGCCCTGGCACACACAGCAGCAGGTTTCGGGAGATGGCACCCCACACACGACTGGAAGACCAGCACTGCCCTGGCAGAGGCAGGGGCATGTCCCCGCCCCACTGCTGGCTCCGTGGTCTTAGCAAGTTACTCCCCAGCTCGGGGGGGGGGGATAATAAAAGCGCTCATTCCAGGAGCCCAGTGTGAGGAATAAATGAGTTAAGACACGCACTACACTGAGAAGCCTCACCAACCCAGAGCGAATGCTCAATGCATGTCAGGAGGCGTCATCACAGCCACCTCTCCAGACCCGCCTGTGCTGGGTCTTTCCTCAGCGTGAGTCATCCACCCCACTGCCTTTACTTCGGCTGCTCCAGTCATTTTTCCTGCTCCTCCCCAGACAATCTTGTCTGTCCACATTCCTCTTGCAGGAGGAGACGGAGACTGAGCTCACAACTCTGAGAGAACCTGACCCTCCCAACGATGACAATTACTTCTGGTTCATCCACAGCATCCTCTGACTTTGCCAGGCTAATCTTGTCTTTCCTTTCATGCCTTTGCCATGCTGCCTGCTGGCATGGAAAGCCTCCATCCCTCAGTTCCCACTCCCTCCTGAGACCTCACTCCTGAGCTGCCTTCTCAGCACTCAAGGCAGTTCTAAGAAATGGGAAGTGGGGTGAATGGAACAGCTGCACTCTCCCTATTCCCCATTCCTTCACTCTAAAACATAAATACAGTAGAGAGTTTAAAGTGTGGGTTAGAATTAGACAGACCTGGACTTCGATTTCTAGCCCAGTTACTTTCTAGCTCTAAGGCCTTGATCACAGTTACCTTCCATTTCTTCACTTGGCAAATGGGAAAAATAAGACCTTTCTCATTGGATCACTGTGAGGATCTAATAAGATCAAATAAGATAACCACAGAATGCTTAGCATAGCACCTGAAACAGAAACTTTCAATAAATGTTCATTATTATCATTAAAATAAACACCACAAACATTCAGCGCCCTTCAATAATTCTCTATTGGGCTATAGAATAAAATCCAAATCATGACAGTCTGGCCCCAAACTTTTGCTTCTCCACCCACCCATCCCATCCCCTTCACCGTGCCCTGAATGTCCTGCCATTTCCTAAATTTACTATGTCCTTTCACACCACTGTGCCCTTCTTTGAATATGACTTTGTCTGGAAGGATCTCCCAGTCCCTACCAATCCCCCAATGTCACATATCTTCAAAGCCCAGCTCAAGTATCGGCCCTGTGCTTCCTGCCCAAATTCCCTGATGCGGTTCGTTCTTTCTAAATGTTCTCATTACATTTAGCACATAATGCTGCTCAAGTACATATACCACTGATTATACTCAGTTTCAAAAGACTTCCTCTGGGGAGCAGGCAGAGAGACTGGGAGACAGAAGTGGACAGGTCGCCAACAATTCTAGTATAGGAATAAAGTGTGCTCATTAGTCACCCACCCTCTTCCTATCTCCGGTTTTACAGTATTTTCAACATTTTTAAGTCCCCTGCACTCCTGAGGGCCACTCCTGGACTGTGGCTGGTGTACACTGAAGGAGAAATCACACAACTGCACAGGTATCTACCACAGAAATTCACGAATTCCTCCCACAGCTGAGCCCTTAAGGAGGACTGGTGGCCATCCAGCCAGCCTTGGTCAGCTCCTCTTTTTGATTCCTCAAACTTGGCCATTCCCTTTCATCCTAAGTACCTATAACTCCCTCATTCACAGAAGAAAATGTCTCCTCTTACTTCTTCAAGTAAGGCCATACGACTGCCCAGCCACACACCTTCCTGCACCGAAAGTCATCTTACTTCCAGTCTCAAAGGGTGTGGTGCAAGGTCAATTCCTCTGCTCAGCCTAGAGCTTCCCCCACGAGCCCTACTCCAGCAGAAAAACCCTCTCTACTAACTCCAGCCTCTCCCTTTCAAGAGAGGCTCTCTACTCCCAACCTATAAACACACAAAAGTCTCTCTCATCCTTAAAAACAAGCTAACAATAAATGACAACAAACAATAATCTTTCCTTAACCCTGAAATACTATTCATTATCAACTGCTGCTCCTTCCTTTCTAAGCCAAGTTCTATACCTGACATCCCCATTTCGTCCTATCCCATCCACTTCTGGACCCCTACAGCACAAGCTGGACTCCACTACCACTGGTAAAGGGCACTGCAAGATACAAGGAATTAAGAAGTCCAATAGGTACTTTTCTATCCTGATTTTACTGCCTCTCTCTGCAGCAGTGACTATTTGACCTTCTCTATCCCAAGGTTCCATGACAAATTCTCTCGTTCATTCATTCAATCTTCAAACATATTTTATTGAGCACCTGTTTTGTGCCACCTTCTCAGCATGAAATTAAATGTGAACAAAATAAATACACACCCCGTTTTAGAACTTAAAATACAGAAGTTCAATACATTAATCAAATCTTAAAGACAAATGTATGACAAGCTCTGATAAGCACTATGAAGAAAAGACAAGGGAGCGGCTGTGAAAACTGCACCTGCTGTGGTAGAGGAGCGTGGTTAGCGCAGGTGTCCTTGAAAAAGTTACTTTTGAGATGAGTTCTAAAGGGTAATAAAGTGCTGAGAGGGAGAGTATTCCAGGCAGAAGGCACAACATATGCAAAGGTCCTGCGCCAAGTAGAGTTAGGGAACTGAAATGAGGCAGTATGGCCACAACACAAAGAGCACGAGGGGCATGGGGGGAGGAATGCGGCGTGGCTAGGAGGTAAGCAGGAAGGGGGCCACGCAGCACCTTAGAAATGTGGGTCCTTATTCTTAGAGTAATGGGAAGCCATGGAAAATACTTAAATGTGGGACTGAGTGATAAGGGACATGATCAAGTTTGCATTTTTAAAAGATTATTCTAGGGAAGACACTTAGGAGGAGCCAAGATTACTTAGGAGGCCACATACCAGTCAAGTGAGAAGTAAGGGGAGCCTGAACTAAGGTGGTGGCAGTGGGCATGGAGAGAACTAGGGAGACAATACATACAAGGTAAAACGAGGAAGAGCTGGTGACAGATCAGATGTGGAATGCTGGAGAACCGGGTGTCAAGGAGGACTCCCAGGTCACTGACTTGGTGTTACCATTCACTGACACACAGGGAAGACTAGAAAAGTACCAAGCTTGGAGGGAAAGAATGGGAGTTTTATTTTGGATAAGTTTAAGGTGCCTTTGAGATACGCAAGGGTTGATGTCAAGGGGGTAGCTGGTTTAGGGCAGGGCCAGCAAACTACGGCTCATAGGCCAAATCTAGCCCACAACATCTACAAAAAGCTTCATCAGCACACAGCCACGCTGACTCGGCATGCTTTTGTGCTACTCCAGCAAAAGACCACAAAGCCTAAAATATTTATTCTCTGGCCCTTTACAAAAGTTTGCCAACCTTGTTTTAGAGCAAAGAATAAATCAAGCTATAAATCAGAATCTCATTAGTCTCCCTCCAACCAGCTCTCCACACTGTTACACACGCACGCACACTTCACAGCTCCGATAGTTTTTATCAAGTCTCTTCCTAAGGCTTCTCCTCTCCTACCCATCCCTTAAACAACGGTTGCCTTAGAGGTCCACCCTGAGCCCATGGCCCTTCATTTAACATTCTCCTTGGACAATCCTATCTGCTTTTATAGATTTAACAACTGCTAATTGGCTAGTGGTTCCCCAATCTTTATTTCTAGTCATGACTTGCCTCTGAGTGTCCAAGGGTTAGTGAGTATACCCTTGAATAACACCACCACAGATCTCAAATTGAATGCAGTGCAACTTCTTTTGTCGCCAGTTCTATCCATTCCCCTCATCTCCTTTCCTAACAATACACAGATTTTCTTTGGATACCTACCCTTTCCAATGTAGCCCAAGAGCTTGGGGGGAAATGCCTCTATCAGACAGGGCCCAGGCAGGAAATAGGCACAATCAGCTGAGATTCTGAAAAGTGTATGGCCCACTTCTCAAAGGGACTTTTCTCAGGGTCAAGGAAGCCAAGAAAGGCACAAGGCCTTTGCCACCCC